GGATATGTCGAAAATCTTTCCGTGCAAAGTAGAGCACATTGGCTCATGTACCCCTTATCCCATCCGTTTGCCAGCCGCGTCGTTCCGAGAAATCGTGATGAAAGTTGTAATCATTCTGGAATGCATTTCAAAGTGAGATCGAAATTGTTGGAGTGATAGTGTTGTGGGTATTGGACTTGTAAGATACGGTCACTGGTCAGGGTTGGACTCCATGGGTGGAGTTTTTTTTCTTGTGGCCTTTTAATTCAGATTACAAAGTATCTAGTTTGTTAATTTTAGCATTCTCACGTAGGGGATTCGCTTCATTTGTTGATTGGTCAGTGCTGTATTTACTTTATATAGGAATTGTGGCATATATTTTGGAGGTTATTACTGCTATAATTAGGTTAGTCTTTTATTTGTTTATTTAAAATTTTGTTCAGAGTTCTTTTAATCATTGGGCGAACACTGATCACCAGCACACTGAATGGTTTCGTTAATACAAACGGCAAATGAATGTCACCCTTGTATTTATCATTTCTTTACAAATCTACACTTAGACAGCCAATGATGTTTATTACTTTAAAATTCGTTAGTTTAGTTAGTCAGTATTTCTCGGTTAAAATGCCTCGTGTGCGCTGTTCAAAGACATGATTTCGCTCATTAAGTTTCAATGCTTTATAAATGAAAAATCGAATGATTTTATATAATTTGATTTTGAGCATTGAAAAAATTGAGGTATTGGACAGAGGAGCACGTTTGTCGTTGGCGTGCATTTATTCATTTGGTTTATGTGACCTTTATCGGCTCATTATTCTTTGCAATCAGTTTGGTACAGCTATTTAATTTATTCAGTGAATGTGTTCTGAAACATTGATTTGAAATCATATTTTTGTTCGTATAGCTAACAATAGCAGTGTAATGCAATGCCATCATTCAAGAGCGTTAATGGTTTAGCGGTCACGAAGTGCTCTGCTCAGACTTTTATTGTATCGTGAAAAGAGCATTTCTCTTTCATTATGATTAATGTCTCTTTTTTATATTTGCAGTCACCATTTGCGTCGTTGAGTGAGTCTGCGAAGAGCGTGGTACCATCACAAGCAAAATCCTTGTACGAATGGTCAAATAACTATCAGCTGACGCACGCTTACGGTCTTTTCAGACGGTTCGTTTGTTTTATTCTAAGTAATGAATACTATACTCAACATTTGCTTTCATTTAGTGATTTAAAAATGAATTGCTATCAATTATCTTTGGTTAAGTTATAAATATGAGTGAGAAATAAATAAACTGAAGGATGACTGGTTTGTATGGTCGACCAGAAGTGATTGTTGAGGGTGCGTACGAGCCAAATGGTCCTTGGGTTCCGTTCAATTTCTATGCAAAACCTTTGAAGTTGGATGCAAAACCGCGATTCATACGTTTGTTTATATATGTTCATTATTATTGATCTTCTCATTGTTAGCATTCATGCTGTCGTTCAATCGTTTATGATAATAATAATAATAATAATAATAATAATAACGCATTGAATAAGTGTTATCTGCTTCAGTGCCGCATCAGCCACGTCTGGACTGGCAGATGTGGTTTGCTGCGTTAGGTGCTTATCAGCACAATCCCTTCTTCATCTCGTTGGTTCATCACTTACTGCGTAACAATACCGAAGGTTTGATTATTATTTATCTTTTTATTATATATTGTTATTACATTATGATTATTATTAAATCATTATTGTTATTGTTTCATATATCTATAAGCTTATGATATGTTTATGAACATATCATTTCGTATGATTTGCTAATAAATAATTTGCAGTGACGTATTTAATGGATCGATATCCATTCGAGCACAAATTACCGAAGTTCATCCGCGCACAGCTTTATCTGTATCATTATACGGCACCAAATAAGCAGTGCGTTTGTTGTTTAGTCACGAAATTATTTGTAGTGCATTATTAGTGTTGTTAACGTCAACTTGCGTTCGTTTAGAGGTGAATGGCCAGTGAACTACTGGAGGCGTGATTTACAAGAAGAATATATGCCACCGATAACGAAGGATGATCCGAATGTGAGATATTATCTTCAGGAAAATGGTTTCCTTCTTAAGGTTACTTATTGTTGTTGTCAATAATAATAATATTATTATTGCTGTTGTTATTCGTTCAATTTTGCACATTTATCTCATTCGTTTCTCAGGTAGTTGATTTAAAAGTTTTCAAAGGGTTTCTGAAAGTTCTAAACCAGCAGTCAAGTGTACACTATCCAATTGGGGATGCCTATTATTTGGTCAGGTATTTTTTTGTTGTTTTTTTTTCAGGAGAAATTCCGTTTCAACAATGAGAATAAGCGTTTGGAAGGACTATTGAAGAGTGTACATTTGTACGTACGAGAATATGATCCAGCATGGTTAATCTATTCGTTACTAATCGCACATCTAATGGCTATGATCACAATGAAGCTGTTTAATTAACAAGAATTTAAATGCTTATTTTCATTTCATATTGATGTTATTGTAATTTGTGTGTTTAGAATTTTTATTGTTTGTTGCTTTGCTTGTATGTCAGTTCTCGCTTTGAATGCTGTCGCCGAATATTTTTTGATTCGACAAGATGCCAATAAATGCTTAATGAAGTAAATCTTTGTTGTCATCAGTGGCGTTGCAGATAGCTGGAAGTGGTTTCGTTAAACATCCACAACGCAATTCTTTGGTAATAGATGAGGAATTTTCATTATGTGTTTATTGATGTTGTAAGTGTTATAAGAGTTATAATGTTATGGATGTTATAAGAGCAACACAGTAATATGGTATCAGCAGCAGCAGCAGTCAGAATACCGCTGATAAAATGACGGTTTCACAAATTATTTCTTCGATAAGCAAATGCGCTAATTCGTGTTCAGTGACGAAGTTGTTTTTGTGTTCGTTTTTTCAGACACATTTATGAGTAATTGATAAATGTGTTGAAGAATAATCATTGTTGTTTGGTGATTGCAACGAATGGATATATTGAGTGTTTCGTGGAGGTTTTATGGCTTATTGGCCGGTGCTTTATTTCTGAGTTCATTTGGAGTTTCTGCATTGGGGACGGTTTTATCGGTAATTTTATGTCTGATTATTGGGTAAGGCATAATTTTGCTGGTTCTTTCTCTTAGCATATACTTCTTCAATGCTCTAGCATGCTACTTGATGTAGAGATTAATTAATTTCAGTTTCATTGCATTGATCCTGAAAGTTGGCAATGATAAATCAGATCAGTTAATAAAAGATTTCGATTTCATCGCCAAACAATACCACTTCTCGTCGGGTATTCCTCGCTTCATCGCAAATCCGGAACGTTTTGCAGATAAATCCGCATATGAGCAAGAACATTCTATGGCACAGTCACCCATTCTCGATCCCATCTTGGAACAGGTTTATCGTTATGCTTGTTAGTTGCCATTATCGTTATCATTACTCTCATTGTAGATACTTGGCTATGTGATGCGTGATTTCGTTGATTGCTGGTATGGTACAATCACGCCTGATCAGTTGTTCAAGGAGAGTTTGAAACGATCCATAAGAAGAACAATTGCTGCATTTTCACAGTGGTTCGTGGTTCGTTGTTGTTTTTAGATGGATCATTATTATTTACTATTATTATTACGTATAACTTACTTATTTAGTATTCGCAAGGTGGATTTTGTACCGCTTCTAACGCAGCACATTGTCGACGATTTTGCATCACATTTGCGACTCTACAGAAAGGCGAAAGTTAGATTATCATTTATTATTTTACATAATTATTCTCGTTATCATTGATAATACTTCAAGGAGCACGCACAATCGGTTTCGGGCGTAAATTACACAAATGATGAATTAGAGACGAAATTCTTTGACTTGGAACTGGAAATGGAGAAGTGTTACTGTAGAGATCTAGTGTCAACAACGCCACAATATGAGAACGGTGAGAAATTTGTAATTGAATACGTTTGGTGATAGTAATATTGTTTTATGCATTTCAAGCATACTTGCACGATGTCATCGATATTCTGTTGTATTTGTTGATGCCAAATGAGGATTTTCGTTCACGTCCATTGCGCTTTTTGATTCGAGAAATAACCGTTCGTCGTATAGTGTTACCTGTTTTGGATATGTTCAGTGATCCGGATTATATCAATCATATTATTGTTTGGTTGGTAAGTGCTTATCTTTATCCGTATCTTTGATTATCCACTGGTTAATGCTGCAATCAAATGTCGCGTTCAAAATTATAAGATTACTTTAGTTAAGCGAAGTACAGTTGAGATCCGAGGATTTTATAACAACATTAGAAACGAGCAAAGATGTACAAGAGTTGGAAGCTGTACTGGAATCGCTTTGTGAAGAGGCTGCTGCGTTGCGTGCGAAAGATACAGGCGGTGAACAAGGTTCGATTGCTTACTGCTAGTGGCGCTGATACTGACATGAGGTTGATGTGTGACGTGTTCAGGTGTGCTCGTCAAGCAGCAGTTGGCCAGTATCGAGTATGTGGACGGCGTGATACGACGTCGAATGGAGCGTTTAACGTGCACACCAGTTGTCTCCGAACCGCACACTCTGGTCAGTGCTACTGCCTCGAGAGTCACATGTTTCATTCGATGCATTTCAGTTACCTTCGTCGAGTGCGAACGATAACAATGCCCTTGTACAATTACCTATCTATGTGGTGCTCACCAATAATATTGGTGTCACTTATTTCACCGACTTTTTGGCATCTGTCGGTGGCCAAAATCTTATCGATTGCTATTTGGCTATTGAGGTTAATGTTGTTTCAGTTTCAGTGCTGTTCTCTTAATTGCTGCATTTGTTCGTGAGCTATAGATGATTATTTATTGAGGGTTTTAAAGTGTCTGTTGAGCATCAGCAACGTGGCTTAGCGATCGGTGAAACGATGGAACGTGATGTTTATGAGACAATCAAAGAGGCAGCTTACTTCTTGTTTCATCAGTATTTGTCACAAGAGGTGAGTGATTATAATGCATGATCCCTTCTGTTTCCAAGCTGAACGGATTCAATTTAAGCTCCGAAGCCTATGCATCAATCAGTTTCTTTCTTTAAACAAGTTCACAATTTCATTTATTTTTACAAAGTTTTAGTCGAATAATTTCTTAACGCTGATCGAAGAAACTCAGGAATGACGTTTTAAAAAAAAATTAAATTCAAAGAATTGACGGTGATGAAAAGTGCAATAAGCAAATTGGAAAATAAAAGTTATGATATAATAAGGTGAAATATATTGAGTAATGAAACATTGCAGGCAATTACGCGAGTTTCATTAGATGACGCTATTGTGAATCGTTTCTTGTCATTACTTCGCAACGATGAATCTCCAGATATTTGGTTTGAACGAATACAAGAGAAAATCACTGAGATTTTGAGAGATGTAAGTTCATTTGATTATATTATTTATAATTGTTATTGTTATAAATGTTTAAGGATGAGCGTTTCTACGCCAGTTTCAAAAAGGATGTTCTCTACGTGAAAATGTTGGCTGAATTAGGCATCAACTCAGAAGAATCTGAAACGAATTATTCTGGTGGAAGTGATGAAGGTGCTGTAACCAGTTCAACGAATCCCACCTTTGATGAGGTTCATTTCGTTTGTTTATTCATACAGGTTACAATCATTGGGCACTTTTTTACTTTGTTGGGTCGCGTGCATTGTGAAAGACGGTTTTGCATAGATCGAGGCCATGCGTGTTCAGGCAAGTGCGTAAATTTGCCATGGACCTGTTCAGGCGAATATAGACAATTCTAAAAAGTGCCAGTCGTTGTATTTCAGAGTGACAAACAAGCGGGTAAACTAGAAGAAGGAATCCATGTACATATTGAAACGTTGGGTATCGGTCAGCAAGGCAAGCAGACATTCGCACTATATAATGTACGCGTATCACGCATCGATGCTAATGGTAAATGCTTATCGGGATGGAACGTGCTTAGAAGATATTCTGAATTTCATACGCTTCATTCATTAATACAATCTAAGGTTCCGTTACTATTCAAATGTTATTATCAGTGTTGTTTATCTTATCTTCATACCCACCAGTAACATCACAATACTAAGTATCACTGTTACTGTTCACATAGTCCAACTAAAAATAATTATCCTTAAAATGGTTATACAAAAAATTTTTTTCTCCGTGAACAACAGTATCAAAAAAGTTTGCAGTATCCGAAATTGAATAATCTTTCATTTCCTGGCAAAAAAACGTTCAACAATTTGGATTCGCATTTCTTGGAGAAACGTACCAAAGCTCTTAATATATTCATGATGGTGAGTGTGCTTTAGTGGATGGAAATAATGATTGATGTTATATCTTGTTTTAAGTCTACCCATTTCAAATATAATTGTAATTTTACTTCTTTTGATTCAAGCATCATCATTGTTTTCAATCATTACCATTTAATTGTTCAATGGTAATGAGTGATGATTGTTTCAATCGTAGACTAATATCATTATTACATTAAACTTTATGTTAACGAACCAGTCAACATGGCAATTGAGTGATTGATGAAAATATTCTTTTGCAGAGTATTTTGAAACGGTCGGTTTTGAGTGCGAATCCAGGCTTGGAACAAATTATTTTTAGTTTTTTGAGTCAGAAAGATTACGTTGGTGAACGAGAAGGTTTATCGAAGAAGGTTTGTTATTGAATTGATTCATGAAATATGAGATCTGATAATATGAGAAGATGTAATAGCTTGTGAACGCCATGTTCGACCCGATCAAGTACGGTGTGCGAGTGTTTGGTAATGCAGTGACGGCCGTGCCGGATTCGGTCTATGGAGGTGTCACGAGAATGGGTGATGGCTTGAATAAAGCTGCACAACAAATCATTGGCTCTTCTTCGCAGCCCATTTCGGTATAGTTCAATGATGTGCACAACTAAACAGACTTATATCTAGGCGCAAGCGTATATGCTTGGCCATAACCTTGCGCGGATGTTTTTCCGTTTAACAACAGCAATTTGAAGCCGAATGTCGACACTCTCTAGAGGGCGCTGATAAAATAAAGTGTAATTAATGAGAAACTCATGTGATTTTATTGTTTTTACTTAAGAGAGCAAATATTCACATTCTACCGAATTTCTTTAACATTCTACTCAAGATATTTTTAATTTACAGAATTCGAGCAATTTGAATAGTGGCGTTGCAGTGGATTCGAATCGTGTAGCTGCAGCGATTAGTGATCAGGTTAGTTTTGTTGGTGCTTTTCGATTATTTATTGGTTGCATAGAAAAATATATTTATTGTTACTCGCCAGTTATGGTCTGATAATGATAATAAAAATATTGAAGCAATGGATGGAAAGTATACCATTGAGAGTGCTCGTGTTAATGATTGATGAAGTATTCGGTGTGAGAGGTCGAAATGCTTGGTTCCGAAGGCGTTTAGTGGCTTTGTTAAGGCAATTCGTACACGCAACGATGGGTTCATCGATAAACCGAAAGATCATCGATATTGTTCAGTGGTTAACATCACAACAACAAGTTGCACAATATTTGGTTGCGTTTAGGTTTATTTTACTATTTAATTGTTGGCTGCTAGTGAGTAGTGACATTTTATTGAACGAGTGAAATATTTGAGGAATTCACTGTGGCCTGGTGGTCAGCTGGCTGATAGCAGTGAGTGTCGTGGACATGCAGCGCAACTGAGGACACGTCTCTTGGCGAGAGCTTTATTGCTCGGCGCTTTACCGGACGAATTGCGCTTGTTTATTGGCGCTGAAACGACCAATTTGGGTATAAGTAACATCTCGGATGCACTTCAGAATCAGCGATTGAATCGTCGTCTGTTGTATGTGCTCTTCGAGCGATTATTAGTCACCGTGTTCCCGGATAATCGCTTCGAGAAAATATTCCCTCAGCTACACTCTAAAAGTCCTCGATCGAGAACCTATTCAACTTGATTCTCTTCTCGTTCCATTACAAATCTCATATCATTTGCATGGATTGTTTATCATTGTCGATTTTGGTCATAATCACAACCAGACCTGTAATAGTATTTGGCATTATTATCATTGTTATTCTATTATTACCATTGATATTATCATTATTTGAAACGACGTCTGTATAACGAATGTGTTCTTCCCGCGATGTTATACGGATCAGAAACATGGACGGTGACAAAAAGAATGGAAAATATGATGGGAGTAGTCCAAAGAAGGATGGAGAGGTTGATGATAGGCGTAAAATTATGGGATGGGAAATCGAATGAATGCTTGAGAGGGGTTTAGAAAGTTAAACACTTTGTAAAACGTGCTGCAAGGGAAAGGAAAATCAAGTGTACCAGAAAATTGGCAACAATGGACAATAACAACTGGGCGAAGAGGTGCACAGAGTGGCAACCTAGAATCGGAAAAAGAAGTCAGTCGGGGTCGACCGAAAATGAGATGGCGAGACAATATTTGCAAAATAGCGGGCCAAACATGGATGAGAAGAGCAGTGAACTGTGATAATAGTGATAAATGGAGTGATCTTGAAGAGGCTTATGTACGAAATGTACAATAATAGCTGAGTAAATAAATAAATAAATTATCATTATTCTGTTATTATTACTATCAATATTATTATTATTATATTACTATTGTTATACATTACAAAATCATTATTTGAATCATTACTGTTATCGCCAGATGATGGTTACTCTCCGATCTCGTATTATATCATCGATTATTACATTTCAAATTAATTTATCTTCCTCGACTACTGACGCTAATATTGTTATTGTTACTGTTATCAGTGTTAATGTAATGTCATCTTTCTAGTCTCATTTCCATTCGGTGAAAATATTTATGGGTTCAGTTTGTTCTCATCATTAAGATATTGATTAGAACAATAAAAGTATTCATTACAATTTTCGTTCATTATTGTATGCTATTTGGATGCAAACACTCCTACTCTGTGCTTTTCCACAAAATTTTTACTTTGCACTGCTCTGGCTTACAGTGCTAACAGTAATACTAATGATATTATCATCATCAGTACTCTTGTTGCATATTGGTTGAGGTGTGTTAAACGAGCATTTGTTTCCCGTTTCGTGATGGTGATGTACCAATCGAATTCGGTTTATCCTAAGTTTCATTAATTTTGATTCAGAATTGTCTCTAATAGACAATAATATTATAATTGTTATAAGCATGATACGCATGTATATATCATTTGTGAGAAAATTCATGAAGAATGGAGCAAATTGTAAAGGACAATTTTTCGAAAACGCATGAAATATCAAATAAAATTGATCTAAACAAAAGTGAACATTTTGTTGTGTAAAATGTACTGAAAATACTTCTTGCGTATGGTGACGTATGGTGAATGTGTGTTATTGCATAACTCGAAAGGAGTTTGAGTGAAACTGGTTTCGTTAATAAGAAATTTGACAGTTAGGTAGTTGGATGTATTTAGAAGTAAGTGATGAAGTCAAATCAAATCGAATTGTGAAATTTAACTGATAATGCTAATGGTTGAAGTGTCGCAAGAGAAAAAGCGCTGAAACGAATGAATCAGTCGAAAAGAAAACATCCATCACATAAACGGTAATAATGATGATAATAAAATTAATCATGGTGAAAGAAATTGTTGCAGAAAATGCTACAGGAAATACGATGAGTGAATTGGTGAGACGAGAAATTCTTTTTTGGAGAATTATTTGATCGAACCAGTTCGGCGAAAGGAACACAAGTAGGACATTGAAAGGTTCGGAGTTGGCGAGCGACTAAAGGTGAGTGGTGGAAGTTGGCTTAGAAAGGATTATTCTTGGAACTGATTTCGTCGTATTCTTTGAAATGTGCAAAAGTTTATGCGTTTGAAAACAAGCCTACTCGGTCGTATTAATTGCGTAATCAGTCAATATGAACAGACTCAAATTTGATAATACCGTTTGAGAAAGTTCTCGTTGACTAAATCGCTATTGTTCCCACTTGTGATGCCATTTCTCTGTTTGTTTCTTTTTTCAATTGGTTGATTCTTAATTGAAATTATCAAAGTTTCTCAAACGTTATTGTATTGTTCAGTTGTTCATTCAATCACCTATTATTTAATCTATTCAATTGTTCTATTATGATATGTATTATTATTAATCCTCATATTCTTTTTTATTATATTCTTTATCGAATGTTTCTGATTGCATAATGTAAAAAAATTATGAAATAACTCAATCAGATGAGAAGAAAATTCGTTGTGAACGAAGGATAGAAATTTTACAAAATTCAACAGAGTGCATTTTTTCTCTGATAAATTTCACCGATTGCATTTTTTCGTTTTATTTTCAAACGAATCACATTATTACAAATTATTATTATTGTTTCTGTACGAGTCGTGTAATAATAATAATAATAATTATTATTATTATTATTTCTGTTATCGTTATCATCATTATTACAAAACGATGGAAAAAGAAGTAGTTGAACGAGTGAATTTCATTTATATATTATTTCACAATTAGATTGATGTTAATTGATGATCATATTAAGTCTAATTGTGGTTGTCTCATACTGACTCTTACAATTTCTTGTTTCATACTTTGAAATGATGTTTGTATGATTTGGTTTGTTTAATCTTCATAACATGGAATATAATTGAAACGGATAAGCTACAAGTTTCATTCAATTGTTTCATTTCATATACTGCTGTTAGCTGATTAACTTTTTTTATTATAATAACGATGAGCAATGAATTTTTATCTAATAAAAATTCAAATTGAATGAATGCCTAATTGGTTTTAGGTAATGCAACGTAAANAACGTAAACTTATCCCATCTGCCGTGGTACTAGTACTAGTGCTGGTGCAGTGTCCGCAAAAGACGGCAGCTCTAGACTTGCAAACGGGTTGGTAGATTATTATCATGAGCAAATCGAATTAGATTATCCAAGCTGTTCTCCATTTTCTCAACACTTTAAGAAATTCCAGACAGATGCATGTTGAAATGAATGGACTTTCTTTCCTGTTCAATTTCCAATTCTTGATTCACTGTTGAGCAAGAAAATTATTTCGCGTTAATATGTTTCGAAGAAAATTTAACCGAATCGCTCACTTGAGTGTTTTTTATTGCTGAAAATTTTGAGTTGTCGTGTTTTTGAATTTTTGAGGAAACAGCAACAATGAATGGGGGAAATTTCAGTGAATGAGGAGTTTGTGGTGGGTTTGATGAGGGGTGGATGGATTAGTGAAAATATATTCAAAATTAGTGCGTTCAACGTTGAACAAACGAACACTGAAGGAGAGCAGAGTTAACTAAAAACGACTGACTCAGTGAGTGGTCATTTAAGTTCGGTGACACGAACTGTTATTGTTGTTCATTTCAGGCTTGGGTTATCTAAAAGGTCTTTGGCACGACTGGCTGGATCCGCTCCCGTCTGGTGGTGCAACTACTAAAGCACCGGTTAAACCTGTTCCCGTAACCCAGCCAGCCCAAGTCACGACCACTCGCACTGCAGCAAGACCAACAGCACCACCACCACCTAAGCCAGCCTCACCACCACCTGTGCCAACATGGCAACCACCACCTAATTGGAATCCAGGAGGTGGCGGTTGGCAACCAGGGGGTCAAGCAGGTGGCTGGCAGCAACCATCATCACCCTGGCAACAGCCATTTTGGAGTGGCGGTTGGCATCCTCAACAACCATGGCAACAAATCGCCTCACGATGGGTTCAGCCACCACCGTGGCGTCAAGGAGCTCAGGTTCAACCCAGACAAGGATAGTTATCACTGCTGCATCCACTTCTGATTAACGAACGTTTCAATTATGTGCTATGAAACGGCACCTAACAGAACACTAACCGGCCATGCTACTACCGATCAACATTTTAGACATTTATTGTAGTGGATAAATTATTTTCATTTATTGTTCATTGGTCAGTTCCATTCGTGCATGTCTTTGGTGTGTCGTCATTCAATGATAACTTGACAGCATCTTCCAGGTATTTTGAATTTAAAGTGTTTTGAAAAGCAAACTTGGACTGTTGAATTGAGTTCATGATCACATTGAGAACGCAGTTATGTTCCAAGAATTGTTTTACGCGAAGAGACGAGAAATGGATTTGAGCTCCAATTGAACATGTATATTTATCATGATAATTCAATAAGTGAAGTGATATTTATTACAGTAATAATTGAAATAGCCATATAATACCAACTATTAAAATCACAGTATAATATCAACTTTTATTGAAAGTACTTTAACCGTAATTGGGTGCGAAGAAATGGGCAAAATATGATATTGTGAAGAACATAAGGACACTTTACAATAAATGATATTGCAAAAATTTAGATGTAATAATAAACTTCGATAGTGATTATTGTTAATAGGAAGAATTGATGACAACTTTAGTAATAATGAAACAAAACTCATAAGATTAACAATAACAATAAAAACAGTTCGTGAAGATAAGAGATAATAAACTAAAATTTTTATTATAGCTGTCGTTATGAGTCAGTCACTTCCTAAAATTAACTCATTCTGATGTTAGTCATGAAATGGGCATGACGTGTTTCTTTTTCATTCAGCTTTCTGGGATGCTGCTTTTCCGGTCAATTTGGAACCAGCTTTAAGACGGTTGTCAACAATTGCTGACAGCATCCAACCAATAGTGGGACATATCCAGTAGGTTAAAATGAACCATTTGGTGTCGAGACCATCACATCCTTGTAGACGAGACGATGCAATTGTTGGATTCAGCCCGGGTACACCGATAAATGTCAGTGCTTAAAATTAATAGCAATTATGATAATGGCGAGAGGAGAGCATTATTATCGAAGTGCTGAGCAACAACTCTACTCACCGAATGTAAGAAATCCAGAAAGAATGAGCGGTACTGCATAACGAGTTGTTTTGATAGGTAACCGAGTGACGATCGTTCGAATTAAGAAACAGGCGAATATTTCGAATGTAAACGCATACGAGAATGGAACCTGTAATAATGAATTGCTTCTGCACTGTTTCTGTTTTGTGCTGCCTGCACTCGTTATATGCTCTTATTATCCAACCTTATACATCAACTTGCAATGAGTGGTCGCATAACTTGAAGCATGATCAGTGGCCAAATTCAACGACCAATACCAAAGCTGACGTGCCAAACGATAAGCTGAATAACCACCCAGAAATTCACCAGCAAGAACGCTCAGTAGGCGATCACTGCTGAAAATGAATCAAGCATGCAAGACACGAACAGAAACTGTTCGATGAAGCCATAAAAATAACTGGCTGCTGCTATAAGCAGTTATTGTGCTGAACACAGACTGAAGGAAGTGGAACTGAAACGTTACTCGATTGATCCGAAATAAAACATCTCAATGGGTTTGAGAGGTGAAACGAATGCGCCTCGATTCATAGCACCACCAGCGAGTAGTAATGTCGTCACAACGAAGAAGTAACCTACTGCACCATAGTGACGAACTATTGTCGCTTCAAATGAATAATTCTGTCATTTGTTTGCTCATTTCGTGAAGCTGCACAATGATTATGAATTTAGATTCTTACCGTTCTCGTATACACATGTACACATTTGAGCTGTAGCGATGGCCTCAATGCAAAAGGTGTATGTCAACTTATTTGGTGGCACATATCTGCAATATTGTCGTTAGCTCACTCAATCAAGTACTTTGATTGACTGGCAAAGTTATGCATATGAAATAATTTTGAGATTACCCTCGAAAACTTTCGATTCGGTTTTGACCATAAAACAAAATAAAAGTAATGGATAAGTGAGTAAATTATTATTATGATTAATGCTGTTTTTCACGTTAATGTTATATAAAACGTAATGGTGCTTTAACTGATTACTGATACAATTTTCACTAACCTATCAACAAGTTTCCGTGCAAATTCGGCAAGCACAAAAACGGTTATATAAAAACAATAAGCAATAAAAAAAGGCCCAAAGTCGACATTCGCATAAAACGACATTGTCTGAAATATTGAAGATTGTCGTTGATATTGCTAGCAGTAATAACGAGAACGACATAACGACAAATTATCTTTTGTATTCGATGAATATATAAAGGGCACACGAAAAGAGTGAGCACTGAACCGTGATCGAATGACGTGGAAGACTGAGCGGAGTGCGTTTTATTCGGTGCATTTCAAGAAGTTAATGAGGGTAGGTGACAGCCACTAAGGGTGAGTCTTAAGGCATACACAAACGTTTATAAGTTGATGTTAAGTGCTAAACTGATGTGAAACGAGTGCCTGTACATATATACACACTTGCAGTGGTTATCATTGATCTGGTGTTTGAAACAGATGAATGCAATTGCGACCATACTCGACTGTCTGTTTCTAATTCGGTACACTGATGCTTGCAGTTATGAGAGGTATTACAGTTCAGTGTGAATGAAGATTGAGAAGAGGTGAAAATGGATGATGGATAAATGGTATACAATGAATGAATGCATTATTGTTATCTTTTTTTAATCGTAATCAGTTTTCATTTCACTTGTTTTTTTTTAAATATTTTGAACGTCAGTCGATGCGAACCATGTAAGCATTTAATGATATATTCTTTGCACCATCGTGCACTTACTGTTATCAGTGCTTATCTTTGCTTCAATCCAAAAACATTTCAATATCTATTTGCACAACCGCTTAACTACCCAACCTTCGTTTAATGGTTTCTTTTTTTGTTTCAGCTACACAGCACCCAGAGAAGACTAAACGTTGAAGTATGTTCACACGATCGAGCCTGTTTTAAAGCAAATCTTTAATGTGTCTCTTCGAATCGACTGCATTCAGCAATCAATCGAATGATGATTTCAGTTAAAAACAGCAAGATCCAATTGATATGTAGATGGCATGTGACGTAAAATTTTGTTCACAGAACCAACAAAAAAACCCACTTTGTTAATACGCGATCAGGATAATCTCAATTTATTCAAAATTAGATCACTGTATCCGTTATCTATCCCATCCTTTCCATAATGGAGTTTGAAATCGAAAACGGTTCGTACTGCGAACCCATTCTACCATTCCGATCTGAAGAAGACTCCGTTATTAACAATAAGCTTCGTTTCATACGCAACAAAACCGCTGAGTTTTATTTGAACGGGTTTTATTGATAATAATATTTTATTAGCATGATAATATGTGCAGCAATGTTCGGTATGAATGATAATAACATGGCAGATATACTGCTCCAACAATTGCTGGGGGAAGGAGAAAGGTTGAAAAAAAAAGAAAAAGAATAACAAATTACATACATACAGTGGGGGGGGGGGGGGGGCAATATCAAACGGTTCAGTCATATGAGTCAATAAAATGTGGATGAATAAAATTAGGAGAATGAAGTAACATCTTCTTTCGGTTTCCTATTTATGAAGACAGCGGTAATGTTGACCATTGGTTTATGGAATTAAATATGGTTTATGAGTTGTGAAAACCTTAATAAAGTCTACAGAAATGAAACATATTGAGTCTTAAAGAAGGCACAAGATCTCTAATAAAAATAAGATCGTGAAGAGACCCTAGAACCTAACCTTGAAGAACAACACTACTGATATATTCTGACGAATCACCAGCTTGAACTGATTGAGAACGGTTCGTGAGAAAGTCTCGGATCTAGAGATAGAACCTCGTATGCCATGTGCTTATAAGTTTAAGGATAATTTAGGTATGAATGCCCAATGAAACGCTTTTTTTAAAGCCAAAATATATGGTAGCCCCCTTATTAAAATGAGATGTGCAATTTTGATAGGATCGAAATAGAACCGCAGTGGTTGATCTCCTATCGAGAACGCCATAATAAAAGTGGAAAAAGAACCCACTTATTGTAATACAGCTTCTCGGTTTGACTGCACGTATTTTTTCCATAAAATTGAAAACTGAGCAGCTTAATGGAATAGGACGGTAGTTTTGCAGATTCATTTTGGAACTTCTTTTATAGTTTATTTTCACCATATGGGAAATGAGCCATCAGAGATCTGCAGAATAGATGACAAAGTGGAGTTGAAGTGATGATATCGGTGGTCATTCTAAGGAATATGTAAGGTATTTCATCAGATCATATATTATTTCTATTGAGGAGGCGTTTAGGGACTGTGTTTATTTTCGCTGCTTTAATATCGAATTGTAAGTATTGTAAAAGTGTGGAATTTGGAATTGAGCGACCGAAAGAGGGATGTGATTTGTCTTGCGAACTGAAATAAGGAAATTTTAAAGAAGCTAGGGTTCGATACCACCTCTTCCATGTGCATTTGGTCGTCATTAGCCGTAATGAAGTGTATTTTCTCGGATTTATGCAGTGTGCGTGGTAATCATCAGTTATCGTTAGCTTTGTCATTCATTTAATTCTGTTTGACTATTGAAATATTTGTTTTCTGCTTTTTGTGATGGCTGAAGTTTTCGAAGTGATGAATGACAAAGAATTACGTCTCCGTAGTCGTTACTGCGTGAGTGCATTAAATCCTACGTTCTGTAGAATGTTTTTCGTCTACCGTCGAATCGTTATGCTTCTTCATTCTATACGTGTGCGTGGTAATATTATAGATGTGTGTTATGTGCATATACAAATAGGGGTATGATGCAAATATTCATCAACACTGAAACGTTTCCGAGTAAGTACATTCGAAGACGACCACTTTGGTGAACGAGAAGAAAAACTAGAATTTTTGATATATGCAGCAGTGTACAAACGATAAAGTTACGCGCAACAAATAAACAAGCCTGACCGACCGAGCAAGACGAAAATAAGCCTAGTTGGCGCAGCAGCATGTTAATAGTAACAATCGTAAGTTGTAATGCAAAAAAAGTGGACGCATTGAAGAAAGAAGTATCTCATCGGCTAGTCCTGCTTCAGCGAATCAATCTCCTTTTAATCTACAAAACCTGGGCTGCTATTTATGACTACAGCTATTGATAGTGTAAATATAGCGCAGAAAGCTTATAACGCATAACGTAGTAAGTAAAATATAGTACACTCATAAATTTTGAAACAATACCAATCTAAAGAGACACTTTGATGATTGCAATGACATGTAATGACGATTAATAGATATTAAGGTAGATTTAAAACTGTAAAGAAATGCATTACGAATCTGTCAAGCATTAGCATCATGCGCTATATTTAAGATCAACATTGTTGAATTCTAAACCATGTTGGAACTAAGAATGAAGTGCTGAATTTTTTTGGTGACTGAAAATCAGTCATTGGACTTCAATGATTTTTCAAAACAAATGCTACTTTTTTGAGAAAATGTTGAGTTCTGACAAATTTTGAGGTCTACATACATATTTATATTCATACTTGATACTTGAAGATAAAATTTTATTTGGAAATGCTTTCGTATTTTGATTTCGATTCCGACGACACGTACTTGTTTTGTTGTGAACAACTGAGGTGACACTGCTGCTTGCAAGAATGACGCTATCGGTCGCAAGAGTGATCACAAAAGGGACAGTATCGATCACAGTAACGATAATCTGTAATCTGCTTTGCTTCGTGTTTGATGTACAACAATTTTTGCAAAAGGAGTTTTGTGCCGTGCTCTCCTCTCTTCGCTCGTGAATGAGAGAAACACGTGAATTTCAGCTGAATGCATGAAATATGCTGCCCCTATATTCTTAACGTCTATCTTGAGTTGCCGTTCTTCATTTTCAAATGCAAACTAGGTAAAAGCATAGTCATAGATATTTAGAATACTCATTCAAGCCAACTACTATCTGCAAGCAACAAGCCAGTTTGTAGCAACTGAAGCGATAGGCATACAGACAGTCAGTAAACTGATGCAGCCGTGAGGCAGCCTAACATCAGCATACCAGCTCGGCCTTCACTTTCAGGTCTAGCTGATGCTTTGCGTTCACACTCACCAACCAACCCATCAACCAATCGTTTCATTTATCTCCACTCTCCCATCACACTGCCTTCAGAATACAAACACCGTTGTCTGCGTACCACGAGCGTTCCTCATAATCAGCAAATACAATTTAATCGTCCACTCGTCTACTTATTTGCTATTCATTGATAGCATGAGCACATATACCTACCTAATTTATTCACTTCTCGACTGTAAATGTTCGATGCTGCTTCTGTTAGCTAATGCATTTCACTAAACACACGTAACATGCCTGTCACTGACAACAACAATACTTTTCATGTGATAGTGCTGCTGCTGTGTTGTACGGCAGGGACGTTGATGGTGATGGTAGAAGAGAAGTATTCGAAAGGTGAACGATGATTGAATTGAATTAAATGTGTTCTATGCATGATGGATTGTAATGAGAATGAGTGCTTGGTACAGCAACGGTTTATCGTTTTGCACTTTTCTTGTTTTATGGCAGGCATCAGTTGATTGTTCGTTCGTTCGATCAATTGTTCATACCGATCTTGATCATCGTCCTATTCGCCTTTTATTTACTTGCGATTGCTTGTCTGTTGCGTTAATTAATGGTTGAATGAGTGTTTACTTGAGAACATTTTGTTGTTTTTGCTAAAATACTGCGTGAATGTAAAGTGCTGCATGGTTGATTGACTGGACACATTTGTTTTTGATGAAGTGAGATGATGAAAAGAATTAGAAATGGTGTAATGATTCGCTGAAGTGTTTATTTGGTGTTTGTGTATGTTTTTGGCATTCGAAAAATTATGCTTTTGAAATTATTTTGATTCAACTTAATAATACGCAATTGATTAATTACTTTTTTTTGCACAAGTGGACTTTGATTATTCGTTTAGAAAGTGTAGATTTAGACGTTTTACATATGTCTATGATATGATAGGTAGGGCGCATCGACAAATGAAAGATCTGCTGCGTTCAGATGAGATGAAATGAGAGTGGGCAGTGACAACTAGAGTTCGCAGCCGGCAGATTTTTTTTCGGTAGCCATCGACTTAGTACTAGTGGCAACATGTACGTTTTTATATCATTGATATGATGGTGGATTAATGAGTGTATACAATAAACGGCATTTTATGT